CAGGTTTATGATATGTTGGTTGGGCAAAAAACGGTCCTCAAAAGAAAATCTCAAAACTAAAGTTACCACCATGGAAAATCCCTACATTTTATAAAAATATAGAGCATTCAAATGCCATTTATGAAGAAAAAATATGATGCACACCCCACCCAATACTGTAAGTGCTGTGCCCTAAGCAATCTCATGAAAGGCACCTTTTCCCACATGAGTTTAAATTTACAGGCCATGGACTCTGGGTAGCTGGGACTCACTGAACAGAAAACTGGCAAGGCTGACAAGAATATTTTCCATTTTACCCTTCCTTCTTCCTTCAGTTACCAATGAGTTTGCGTTATGGTCTTAGCTTCACAACAGTATTATGGGATGTGAACTTAGTGTGTACTGAATTGTGGGAACATAATTTTTCTTTGAACTGCTGAAGATTTCAGGAGTTTGATATGACATTTCCAAATTGATTGGATATGAAGCAGGGACTGTGAAATGAGCTCTTTTAACTCTCCATACTAAAAAGTGAGACACATGAAAGATTTGGTTGAATTAACTCAACCTTTAAATTCAATCCAAGCTCCAACTGCTCAAACAACCCAGACTCTACCTCGCCTCTGAGTACAAGCCCTTTGGCTGAGACTGAGAAGAACAGCAAACTGGTAAAGAATGGCTTATACCTAAGGAAGGATAGTTAAAAATCTTTAACTTCCTTTTTTAGGTTGAATCATTTGAAATTGTCATTTTCATGTGTCAAAATCGGAAGAATTTTATTCAGTTCAATATAACTTTTTATTGATCTTGATTATTTCAGAGCTTTCTCCACAGGTCGCAGGAGTACACGTGAAAGAGCCTGATTTGATATTGGAGAGGGTCTTCATGAAGGTACAAGCGAAACTGTCCTTACCGGTTACTAATCTCCCCCAACCGCCCCAGAAACTACTCCCAGGCTCCTGCTAGCTAACTACAGACTTAAATTACTAAACCCACAGGTGGAGAGGAGGGAAGAACCAGACCTCGCATTTCCACCTCCGACCTCTTCATTAATCCTCATTACCCTTCCATACCAGAGAAGTGATGGATCTGATTGGTAAGTGGCAAGAGCTTACCCTCTGCTGAATTCACATTTCTCCAATGGATGGAGATCATGTATTAGGAAGCTGCACAAATGTCAGAGAAGTGGTTCTGAGTATGAGTGCCTGCTCCGCAGCCTCCAATTCTCAGATGGGTCATCCTGTAAAGACTTAGACTGGCCATTTTGGCCACAGATCAACTGTGCTATCAAATTTGGCTGAATTAAAACTAAGTTTTAATGTCCATCTGTCTGGCTTCTATATCCCTCAATATGTTCTAGACTCAGGGGTGTTAGGAAGAAGTACAACCAATGACCAACCAGCACATAAAACCAGACATGTTTAAATACAGGACAATAGTACAGACATGAAAGAATTTAAAGTTATAAAATATATAATTCTTGTAAACTATGGAGACGAGGAAGAAGATCTGATATAGTCCTAAGAAAATTTTAAAAAGCAGAAATACAATATGGTATACTCTATGCTTGCATCTGAAAATAGTTATAAAGCATGCATGTGAGAAATGGAAAGTATTATGCAAAAAAATAAAGCTAAAATATGGTAATGAGTATGGGAGATTTTTCATTCATTTAAGAAAAAAAAACTTCTTAACGTTGTTTTAATATCTTTTAGTATCTACCTATGCCTCAGGACAAAACCCAAAAGAAAATTTATGGAGAAAGGAATAATAGTGGTACTCCAGATATTTTTTAATATCATCATGTTATATATGTACCAAAACAAATTTTATTTAAATAAATATAAATCAACTGTTCAGAGCACCCTGCCCTTTAGTGCATGCCGGGAGCTCTATTTCTAGGAAGCCATCTATCTATTTTCTGCTAATCTGAGACAGCAGACATAGCCACTCTTGTGCTGAAGTGATCCTTTCGGGTAAGCTGAGACTCTCAGATCAGATGTCTCCTTGGCACCACGTCATGGTCAGAAGCTCTCAAGTAATCAATGAAACCCTCAGGTAGCCATGGGCTCAATTCCCCAGGTTATCATCAGGGACCTCGGGAGAGCAATGTCCTCTCTCTCCACAAGCTGCTAGCAACATTTTTAGATTCACTCTCCAGTGGCCCTCACACTTTAACTGGCAGCCCTGCTCCTCCCAGCCTTACTCCATTTTCACACTCTATGCCCCACCTCAGATCCACTTTAAAAAAAAAAAAAAATCAATACTGATTCTGTTAGGAAATTTTGCTTGGACTAAGTCTCTTCTAATGTATCTAGTATTTTAAGAATTCAGCTATTACTAAATGCTAGTTATAGAAAATAACGTCTTCACTGTACCAGCAGCTCTGGCTGAAGAAAAATAGAGCAAAACTGAGCATAAGCCTTTGCTGAAATTACCAACTAAAAGAAAACTAACTTTGGTTTCTATATATAATCTTCCTTCTAAGTTTTTTTCTCAGGGATATGAGTATAAATTCTTACAGCTTATGAATACAATCTTGAGATAGTTTTTCTTACCTCTTTGCTTATCTAAATTCCACCTACCCCTCAAGGCTCTAGTACTTCAAGCCTTGTTCTACCTTTTCCACGAAGCTTTACCTTCTCCATAAAGTCTTCATAACGGCTAAAATTTATTAAGCATTCCTATATGGCAGGCACACTGGCCTTCACACCTGGCGTGTATTAACTCACTGAACCCTCACAACAACCCTATGAGGTAGGTATTATTATTTCCCCCAATTTACAGACAAGGAAACAGAGACAGAAATTCCAAGTAATTCTGTCCAGGTTATATAGCCATCAAGTGGCAGACCCAAGAATTGAACTCAGTAAGTCTGGTTCCAGGTAGGTCACCCAAGTCTTCTGATCTCTCCCCTTGAAGCCTTTAGTCTTTCCAGACTGCAGCCCACCTACTCTAATCTCTCCCTACAGTGGTTGTTACACAGACCCCACAGGAAGTTTATTATATTCTTTGTACTCTTTGTTGTTTTCCTATTTGTTTCAGGTGTGTTTTCACTTGTCCCCTAAATAAATGATAAGTCCCTTGCAGGCAAGGCAACCATATTTGTTTCTTGCCCCTACTTCTAGCAGAGTGTTGTGTATAATAAAGCACTCAATATTAGACCTCTTAGCTGATTTGTTTTTTAAAGCTCGGCAATTTCTATATTATAAAAACAGACTTTTTTTCTATTTTTTCAAAATGCAAATTTTAAAGAGGAGAAAACTGAAATATTCACACATGATGACAAGGAAATTCTACAGAGGGAAAACTGGGCATTATCACACCCTTGCTGCAAAACCTACAGAACATGAAGTCACAAGCTATGACTCAGCAGAATTACTTTACACCTGAAGTATGATAGCTCATGCCATCATTGTCAGATTTAGCATTACTAAAGTTAGGAAACTGACTGCACATGTTATTTTTCTTCTTAATGCATCTCCTCCTAGTGAGTCATATCTATAAAACTGACAGACCAATGTATTTCCATTTCCCAAAAGAGAACTAACACTTAAGAAAAATCAGAGGAAGCTTCTTCTGCGTATGCATAATCAGTAAGTGACAACCTGTGTTATCAGGAATACGTATACATGCAAGGGGAAAAAAAAAACCAAAACTAAAATCAGAAAGACTTCCAGGCCTGGCACACAGAATCCATTTTAAATAATGTTTTCGTCCATCGAAATGAGAAAATGAAAATGGGAGTTCAAAGGCATGATCTGTCTTGAGTCACTCTTATCCATCCACGTACCAAGGCAGTTCAGAGTTAAGCAAAAACTTAATACTGGCTATTCAGTACCAGAGACCATTAAGTAAAAGAAAATGCCCTTAATAAAACAGGACAATTTCCCAAAGATTTCAATTTTCTTGACCCTAAATATAATGACATAAAAATCTGAGGGGCTACAGGTCTTAAGATAATTTTCAGAAGATAAAGGAGAGAGGCTTACGGTTTTAAGGGCTTCTTACTGAATACCACTTTTCAAATATACTGCTAAAACAGTTTTAATTTACACACAAATAAATATTAAAATTTTGCTAGCTTAAGGCGCTTGAGCTATCTCTGGAAGAGGCTAATGTGATCCTGAAACACAAAGAAATTGCTTTAACTTTTTTTTCTCTCTTTAGCATCTGTTAGCTTTCTAGAACCAAGTAAGTTCTGTGACAACAGCAGCAAAAGCAAACCAGTGTTTTTTGTAGGCTGAGCTGGAGGGCTACAGTCTAAATGATTAAAAACAAAGAGTACATAATGCCACTGAATTGTACACTTAAAAATGGTTCAAAAAAAGGAGACTAATAAAGTGAAAAAGAAAAATTACTCTATATTTACTCTAAAATGTTATTCAAGGATGCACGCTAATGCCTTATTTTAAAATTATAGTTAAGACCCTCCCCCCCCATATGGATGCTGCATTATATTATATAAAGAACTGGAAATTAATTATAGGTCCCATCTTGAGATCTGGAAGACAAGTGAATATCTTATCCTAAATCTGGCCCCCTAATTCCAATTATACTAAATTACCATGTTCATTAGAGGTAATCTCCAGAAACCAGTACCACTGTGTAAAGTTGAAGACTGTGCCTTACTGTGACTTCTGTAACAACTCCTCCTGGCCTGCTTTCTACTTGGCTGTCATGCCACTAAAGCAGAATCTGCAACACTGTTATTTCAAACACAACACAAGCTTTTTATTTTCACAACATACACACAATAAAGAAGCAGAAAACAGAATTGAAAACACCACCAGTTTTCAAACAGCACAGCCAGCAGCTATTACTTTATTACTCTCTCCTAATCAAGGGTTTACCAAAGTGCTATGCCAACGCCCCAGCTATTAAAAACACAAATCTTTCTAAGGGCTACTCCTGCCCACATTTTCCTTATCCGTTCTGTTGCACAGGGAAGTGAAAACTATGTCATGATTTTAACATCCACCCACTCACTAAAGCATCCCTATAGCCAAAGGAAAACTTACCTCTGCAAAATGTGTTGATGTGCTATTGTCCATCCGGCCTCCGCCACCACCTAAAAAACTAAAGAGAAAAAGGAATGAGTAGTGATTCTATTCCCAGGAGCAAGCCTCCCTCCCACAAGCTAAATATAGAATGGTACAATGAGAACAAAGCCCAATAAGGAAAAATAACTCATCCCAACATGACACCTACAAAGGAAATTATGAAGAACTGGCATGTGGATTAATCTATGAAAAATATAACTACACAACCAAGGAAAAATCAAGTGAAATATTGGGGAGAGGGGCCACCACAGAAGGAAGGACCCACAGCCAGCAATAAAATTCAAATTTGACTTAGCAAAAGAAGAAAAACATTTATTCTCAAAGAGGCTAAGAAACAAAACAAGACTCTCCAAATAATGTTTCACTAAAAAAAAAACATTCATCTACCAGATGAACATATTTAAGACCACACTAGTCAATATTTCCTGGGAATGTTAAATGTGGTAATGTGAGGGGACTGGTACTATAGTTAGCACTTTATAAAAGGGCTCATTATTTAGGATAGTTTATCCTATTCTTTGATTACACATCCTTCGGGGCCTATCTCAAATGCCACCTCCTCCATTAAGTCTTTTGTGAACTCGCCAACCAAACAAGATCCCTCCACACCCCTCCGCACTCTTGGCTTTGATGCTGAACTTTACCTTGTATTATAAATACCTAGAATTTTTCTCATCCATTTGTACCCTTCATAAATATAAATTCAGAGGATAAAGGCTTTTAATACCACAAATATATGTACAGTGTTTATTATGTGTCAGACACTATATAGATCACTCATCACTTTTGAAAACCCTGCAATGCCAAATTCTATATTGATAACTCAAAAATAAAAGTTGTTAAATTAATATCACATGTGTAAACAATAAAATTACCTATTCCCAAAGAAATATTAGATCCCATTGTCCCCAAGAAATTTACAAAGAACACTTTGGGGAAAAGGGAATGGAAAAATCACAAAAACTGCAAGATATCACTTTTACTTCAAGAGACACACTTCAAAGTGCACAAACATGTATGTACACATGTTTGTGTATGACATAAAGTCAACATACTATGACAAAACAGCTTTCACTTTCAGAATGACAATACCCACCCAGGCACTATGCTGAGCTCATTGAGGAAACACACTCTGGTTAGTCTAGAACCAAAAGTGAAAAAGCAAGCTAATGCCATGCTCCATGTAATCATTCTCAGGCCTTATTCTGATTAGAAACCATTTAACATCCGTATTTGTTTCAGAAGTTAAAAACGAGTTTGTAAAAAATACTTCAGAGGGCCGGCCGAGTGGCTCAGTTGGTTAAGAGCTCGCTCAAGAGTTTGAGCTCTGAGCAACAGCGGTTCGAGTCCAGCCCGAGCTGAGCAGCCGCTGAGCTGCCAACAGGTAGCAGGATGGCTCAGCTAAAAAAATTTTTAAAAAAATACTTCAAATGTAGAACAAGCCCAAAAGTACAATCCATGCCAAATAAATACTAACTAAACTACCACATACCTTTAAAAAAAAAAAAAAAAAGTTGAGTGTCTGTGTATCCATTTTATTGCTCAAGCCTAAACAGGCTCGGCAAGGCCGTTAACTACTTTTACTACATAGTTTTCAGGGATTCAAATATCCTTGTTATTAAAGCTATCAACTATTTTGGGGGGCTCTGCACCCCCTGAAAATACCGCAACATTTCATTTCCTTAAAATTTCTTTGTATTTTATGAGTGATAGGGCTAATCATACAAAAGGCATAATAAAAACAACCACATTGTTCTGAGAAATGTTACAAAGCTTAAGAAAACTTACAAGGTGCCTTGCTATTTGCATGTCTAGTAGCACATGGGGCCCATTACCAAATATTTACATGCAAGGACTTCCTCTTATTATTACCATCCACTATTCACCACTATAATTGCTAAGTATTCAGCAAATGTTTATTAACTTAGCAGAAGGAAATATCATGCTACACCTCTAAGACACTAAGAAAAAGATTTCAACTATTTAAAATACTAATCTTTCAAAAGACATAATCTTTGCATTTGAGTATTTGCTACCAATAGCACCTGTATTGGACAACCTTTGACCTATAAAGGCACAAATAAAAGAATTGTTAAGTCAAGTGGGAGCAGGATTCATAGAATTCAAAGTTCTCTGCTAGAAAAGGCTCATCCTGCAGTTATCCACTATCTCATTTATAACCATACTTTGTATATAGGCCTAAAGAAATCAATATTACTATTTTAAAATTTAGAAAAAAAAGTCCATTAATTACCCCCAACAACCAATTTATTTAACACATGCAGAGCCTAAGAGCTTGAAATAAGTATTTGATGCAATTTTAACATACATAAAAATCTATCCCAAATTAGCATGCCATCCACACAAAATTGCTAATTTTGCTATCATGCTAATCTTACAGGTTTAGAGTTGTTACTGCGTTATTTAAAACCAAGATTATTAGATTAAGTGCTCATACCAAACTAGTTCCCATGCTATATGCTGCCTCAGAAGCTCCAGCTCATTTATATATAATCACCAATCATTAACAAAGTTAAACTAATAGTACATACTGTAAAATGTGTAGTTTTTCCTGGTTGTGGAAGGGACCTTCAACTTTAGATTCTGCCAACAGCAACAGTAAAGGAATTATTTACTGCCATTAAACTCCCCCAAATCAAGATTAAAAGAAGTTTCAGATTACAGATTCTTTTCATCCAGTCAGTACTTCTTCAATTGTCCAACTAATGTAGAACTATACAGCCACAAAAGAAAAAATGTGCCACTATGTTTGGCCAAAATAAGCCAGCCTATCAATGTGATTCTACTTTTTATTAAATGTTTAGTTTTATTCATATTAACCAATAATATATAATATGGTCACTTTCAGAAATATTTCCCATTTTTTATAGGTTTTATACCTTTACTAAGACCAATAAGAGCCAATTTCAAGCATTACAAACCCAAATAGTAATATTACAGTAGCAAGATGGCATATATTTGACCATGATAATCCTAGTAACAAGGACCGAAGGCGTCCTCAAAGCAGAGTAATAACTCAGCTTCCCTGGCTAGAAAACAGCCTGTATATTTTATCAGACATCTTTGTCAGAAGTGGCTCCCCAGCCACCAAGAGGTGTAACAGCATTTTACTTCCAAGCAACAGTGGTCATTAAAAACCAACCAATAATCTAATAGAACCAACCCTAAAGTCTCAGAAAATAAATGAACACTTACTGGAGTACTCTGATATGGATATAGGGCTTTCCAAGGAATGTCACACACAATCAAAAACTATTAATTCATCCCATCATACCCATTATCACATCACTTGCCAGATTTTCCCATTTTTCTTCCCCTTCCCTCCAACACTTCCCACGGCACCAGTCTTTCTCTCGGCAGAGAGTATAAGTCATAAAACAGATTCCTTTCTATTCAGTTACTGCTGAGAGAGAATAATTTTGATAACAATGCCTGCTTTCGCCATGAGCTTGTACTATACCTGGAGTCATCTGTCACTTCTTCAATAAAGCCTGATTCACATCTGGGACAAATATATTCCTACAAAAGAAAGAAGAAATAAATAAAAGTCTTTCATTACAAAGCTGAGTATGCAGTTTCAGAATAACATGCAGTTCACAAGCTGATGCTGTGAATTGTTGTATGTGCTTGCTCACTCCTGGGACAGCTTTTTTCTATTACATTCTGGCAAATAACAAATTTCATAAGATGTTTGCAGAATAAGGTTCCCACTTCATAAATGGTTCCCACTGAGAGTTGAAAGAGAGAATATCAAAGATTTTCCCCCCCCTTAATTTGTTGTTTTTTTAAACTGGAGTGAATTCATTCTCTAATTTTCTCTTCATTTCTAATGAAAAAGCTCCACTAGAGATATCAGAGAGCAGTAAAAGATCATATAATGTTGACGGGTACAGAAACTGCTTTTTTTTTTTTTACTATGTACATATAGGAGACATAAACTGAATCACAGCATAATTCAGTTTGGGGACTAGGAACTTACAATGAAGTTTTATTATAATATTTCTAATCTATTGGGTTGTCGGAAAAGTCATGACACATTTTTGCAAACAAAAACATAGAAAAAATACGTCATGACTTTTTCGACAACCCAATATTTTTTGATTACCAATGATTCCAAATCAAAGGTAGTATAAGACCCCTATTATCCAAAGAAATATTGAAACAGGACAAAGTAGGAGGTATCACACTCCCTGATATCAAACAATACTACAAAGGTACAATAATCAAAACAACATGGTACTGCCATAAAAGCAGATATATACAGATCAATGGATTAGAAAGCTCAAAAATCAATCCTCACTTATATGGTCAATTAATCTATGACAAACGAGGCAAGGATACATAATGGAGTAAAGACAGTCGCTTCAATAAGTGGTGTTGGCAAAACTGGACAAATACACGCAAAGAAAAAGGAAACTGGATCACTTTCTTACACCATACACAAAAATAAACTCAAAATGGATTAAAGACTTAAATGTTAGACCTGAAACTATAAAACTCCTAGAAGAAAACATAGGCAGTAAACTCTTTGACACTGCCCTTAGCAGTAATGTTTTGGATACACAGAGGGCGCCAAAAATATATATACACATTTTAAGAAAGGAAAAAACTGCATTAAAATTGTAATGCTCAACATATACCAATAGCAGAAGATGAATACAAGTCATGTGTATACTTTTTTTTGGTATCCCTGGTATATCGCCTCCAGCAAGAAAAAAAAAAGAAAAAAAAAAAAAAAAA